TGAACTAAAAAGTAGAAAATAAATGCTATAGGCCCTACATCACAATAATGCAAGCGATCACTCTACTATAAGCGAGCAAAAACGTGGGGCGCCGTGATTTTCTTACAGTTTCTAATACTGTTGACTCTCTACAAGCTCCCTAATAAAAGTCAATAGTATTATCTAATCAATAGTAATATAACTTTTACTTCGGCGCCCCACGTTTTTCATCGCTTATTGTAGAGTGATCGCTTGCATTATTGTGATGTAGGGCCTATAGCATTTATTTTCTACTTTTTAGTTCAATCAGAAAACGTGGGTTTTTTAAAACTTTTTTAATGATTATTATTATCACATAGAACACCTTTATTGCCAGAATGAAGCAAATATTGAACTCTCCATAAGGTCAAAGAATTTAATTAGTTTAAATCTGCATATCTATGGGATCGTCGCGTCTTTTCCCTACACAAGAGATCGATACGCAACACAAGTAATCGATACCTACTTAAAAAATAATTTCGACAAGAAATGTGTAATATATTTAAATGGGGGAGAAAAAAATAAAGGGAAATAAGCGGGATTGAAATCGAATTCTCTCCCCTTGACGCCGGGGTAAGACGCGAGACAGCCTCTTTGGTATTTCCCCCTGTCTTTAGCCTGGGTACTCTAGCTGCATGCGAAATGAGTTCTTGCATGAGGCGGTGGAGGGGGGAGGGTGAGGAGAGTCGTGGGGCGACGGAGCGAGAGAGGAGTGGAAGGGAGGCGGAAGAACAAGGGGCTAAAAATAAGGTGACAATTAGGGGTGTTGGGAGGAGTGTCGCTGTTTTGGTCAGATGACCGGAAGTTCCATTGTACTGAGAGGCGGGTGGAGTGGGGTGTTTTCTCCCTCAAGACGAAATGACGATAACTGGAGCACCGTTAGACCGTAATGGGTGTCGGTTTTAATCCAAGTGTTAAAAAACTAAACGTGATTCATAATCGTATGCCACATAACCCGAACACACAGTACCGTTATAATTGTATGTCACATAACCCGAACACACAGAACCGTTATAATTATATGGAACGTAATCTTTAGTCACAGTACCGTTATAATGATAAACCGTATAGCCTATATTAATCATTCAGTTCTACAGCACCAAGTATCATTTCGACCTCGTTAAGCTAACAAACAAGCAAACAAATAAACAAACTTACCCCAACGTCTTGCTAGATGTAATTACATCAAAGGTTTACAACCTGTAAGGTGTGGGGGTGGGTGGAGGTATTGACTAGAACTGATTGAACTATGAGTACAAGACTTCGATTACCAATCAAGATCCTAGATCGATGACATCCACAAATATTATCGTATTAACGTTTGTCTAAGGGTACTGTTACAAAAGGTCGTTGTCCTACATTGGTTATTTACTCTCAACAAGTGGGCTTGGTGGTGTGGATTTGGTGGAGTGGGCTTGGTGGTGTGGATTTGGTGGAGTGGGTTTGGTGGTATGGATTTGGTGGAGTGGGCTTGGTGGTGTGGATTTGGTGGAGTGGGTTTGGTGTTATGGATTTGGTGGTGTGGGCTTGGTGGTGTGGATTTGGTGGAGTGGGTTTGCGGTTGTGGATTTGGTGGAGTGGGCTTGGTGGTGTGGATTTGGTGGTGTGGGCTTGGTGGTGTGGATTTTGTGGTGTGGGCTTGGTGGTGTGGATTTGGTGGAGTGGGCTTGGTGGAGTGGGCTTGGTGGAGTGGGCTTGGTGTTGTGGATTTGGTGGAGTGGGCTTGGTGTGGATTTGGTGGAGTGGGCTTGGTGGTGTGGATTTGGTGGAGTGGGCTTGGTGTTGTGGATTTGGTGGAGTGGGCTTGGTGGTGTGGATTTGGTGGAGTGGGCTTGGTGTTTTGGATTTGGTGGAGTGGGCTTGGTGTTGTGGATTTGGTGGAGTGGGCTTGGTGTGGATTTGGTGGAGTGGGCTTGGTAATGTGGATTTGGTGGAGTGGGCTTGGTGGTGTGGATTTGGTAGAGTGGGCTTGGTGTTAAGGATTTGGTGGAGTGGGCTTGGTGTTGTGGATTTGATGGAGTGGGCTTGGTGTTGTGGATTTGGTGGAGTGGGCTTGATGGTGTGGATTTGGAGGAGTGGGCTTGGTGTTATGGATTTGGTGTAGTGGGCTTGGTGTGGATTTGGTGGAGTGGGCTTGGTGGTGTGGATTTGGTGGAGTGGGCTTGGTGGTGTGGATTTGGTGGAGTGGGCTTGGTGGTGTGGATTTGGTGGAGTGGGCTTGGTGGTGTGGATTTGGTAGAGTGTGCTTGGTGTTATAGATTTGGTGGAGTGGGCTTGGTGTTATGGATTTAGTGGAGTGGGCTTGGTGGTGTGGATTTGGTGGTGTGGGCTTGGTGTTGTGGATTTGGTGGAGTGGGCGAAGTGGGCTTGGTTTTGTGATTATCATGAAGTGGGCTTGCCTTGTGAATACACTGCTTTAGTGTTGGTTTGACACTGTCAAACAAACAATGCAAATATATACCTGCTTGTTGTAATATCAACTTCATACAACACGGAATTTTCGCCTTCAGTTGCAGTAAGATCGACTCGACTTGTAATGTATGTATGTATATATGTATGTGTATGTGTGAGTGTGTAAACAAAGAAGTATTGATCTCCCCTCTAAGATCTTTCCATCGCTCCCCCATACCAGTGTCCCATAAATCAATAACTCCAGAACTTTATTTATGCCAGCAAATCAGAACTACATTTTGATGATAGATTTGGGGCGGGGAGGGGAGGGAAAAAAGGGCGATAATAAAGGGAGCTCACTCTCAGAATATTATTGCCCGTGGGTGATTGACTCGTCGATATAGTACCGATCATTAAATTCTTCTAATTGACTCTTTTTACTTTCTTTTTTTTTTTGGGTCTGTTTCAGTTGGTTTTGTCTAACTTGTTTCTGATAGTCACTTCAAGAAATAATTTTCATACTTCTAACAGTGTTTATAAAGAACGAAGTATTAATAAAGGAATACACATTAAATTCTTACAGACTGTCATTTAAAAAGTCATAAAGAGGACATTACAAGACCGGTCAGTCTCCCCCCCCCCCCTCCCCCAACATACTGCCTCGGTCTGGCCCAGTCCCTGCCCCCTGCTTACATTTATTTACCGAACACTTCAACATTTGATCAGAGTTATCCCCTGTCATGTGACCGTCCTCCATGTTTTCCAGACACGCCCATGTCTTCTCTTCCGTCGTGCCACGTGACACCTAACTCATTTATCTACTTCCGGTTTTAAGAAGAGAGAAACTGTTTTTATCTCCCCTTCAATCTTTTCTCTCCCAACAAGTTGACGAGAAACTGAAATTCTCAAACTCAAAACATGAGAAAATAGTTCTCAAGTTTTTCATACCCTACTTAGCCATCTCACGATTAGCCTAACCTCAACCATTTAGCCTACCCTCCCACATTTAGCCTGCCCACCCACATTTAACCTACCCTCCCACATTTAACCTACCCTCCCACATTTAACCTACCCTCCCACATTTAACCTACCCTCCCACATTTAGCATACCCTCCCACATTTAACCTAACCTCCCACATTTAGCCTACCACCCACATTTAACCTACCCTCCCACATTTAGCCTACCCTCCCACATTTAACCTACCCTCCCACATTTAACCTACCCTCCCACATTTAGCCTACCCTCCCACATTTAACCTACCCTCCCACATTTAGCCTACCCTCCCACATTTAGCCTACCCTCCCACATTTAGCCTACCCTCCCACATTTAGCCTACCCTCCCACATTTAGCCTACCCTCCCACATTTAGCCTACCCTCCCACATTTAGCCTACCCTCCCACATTTAGCCTACCCTCCCACATTTAGCCTACCCTCCCACATTTAGCCTACCCTCCCACATTTAGCCCACCCTCCCACATTTAGCCTACCCTCCCACATTTAGCCTACCCTCCCACATTTAGCCTACCCTCCCACATTTAGCCTACCCTCCCACATTTAGCCTACCCTCCCACATTTAGCCTACCCTCCCACATTTAACCTACCCTCCCACATTTAGCCTCCCCTCCCTACTGTCGCCTACTCTCTCTACCATCTCATATATATTTCCTGTACATCAGCAATCTTTATAGAGCCTACACAAAAAAGTCTCAAATTAAAAATCTAATTTCATTATCCCAGCATGAGATTCAATCCCCAGAAGACATTCAGCTAGATTTGAAAATAATTTTTTTCATTGTCTGACATTCAGCTAGATTTGAAAATAATTTTTTTCATTGTCTGACATTCAGCTAGATTTGAAAATAATTTTTTTCATTGTCTGACATAAATCTGTATGTGTGGGATGGTTTGTGTGTGTGTATGTATGTTTTCATTGTGTGCGTGTGTAGGCTTTCCTGTTTGTGTGAATATGTGTGCGTGTGCGTGTGTTGTTCACTATTTGTGTATATTTGTGTATTTCAGCCAAAATAAGTTCACAATGTACTCAATTAAAAAAAAAAAGAACCCGCGCCGAATACGCAATATTCATCAAGATATACAGAAAGACGTTAGCAAGTAAACAAAGAGCAGTTATAAAAAAATCAAAAACTATAAATGTATTTGAAAAAAACGCAAAAAGAAGTCGTACGAAAGTGTGCGAGCAATTTAATCACAAGGCCCGACGTATTTTTTTCTCCGACAAAAGATAATTCTATTCATTTTAAAATTACAATATCCACTTTAAAAAAAAACTGAAGAAAAATTAAAGGAAAATAATTTTCAAGAGAGGCACTCCATTTCTGGGGGTGAAAAAATGTATTCATGTGAATGGGGCGTCATGTGCATACAACAGGTTTTGTCTCACTGATGTGTGTGTGTGTGTGTGGGGGGGGGGGGGGTGGGGTCGGGGAGGGGGGTACCTAGGAATAACATCAAGTAGATAACATAGAAAGCAACAACCAGCTATAGATTACTTACAACCAACCAACCTTTTATCAACAACCCAAGACCCACCAACCTGTTATCTAGAATTTTCCCTGTGTTTTCTTCCAGACACGGGGCAGTGTGTACAACCCGGGTTGGCAGTACGACGCCAACGCCATGGAGTTTGCCCACTACAAGGAGATCTACAGGAGGGGCAGGCAGAAGACAACCACGGGGACATACAGGGTGAGTTGGGGGTGGGGAGGGGGGGGGAGGTGGGGGGGAGCAGGTGGTGGGGTAAGTAGAAGACAACCACGGGGACATACAGGGTGAGTAGGGGGTGTGGGGGGGGGGGGTGGGGCAGGTTGGGGGGGGGAGCAGGTGGTGGGGCAAGTAGAAGACAACACGGGGACATACAGGGTGAGTTGGGGGTGGGGGATGTGGGGAGTGGGGCAGGTTGGGGGGAGCAGGTGGTGGGACAAGTAGAAGACAACCACGGGGACATACAGGGTTAGTTGGTGAAGTGGGCAGTTGATCAAAATTAAGGTTTAATTTTAGTTATTTGCCTAATTAAGATAATCTTAAGACTTTAAGTTGGGTAGTGGTGCCTTTTGTTGTCGTAATATATATATATATATATATATATATATATATATATATATATATATATATATATATATATATATATATATATATATATATATATATATATATATATATATATATATATATATAGTATATGTGCAATGTTCTGTTACACGTTCTTACATTTTTCCATTGTTTTATTTCTCAACAAAGCATCCTAGTCAAATCATTAAACAGTAAAAACACAAAAGGTTTGACTGTCTAATGATTTGACTAGAACACTTTATTGAGAAATGCCATGTGATGTGTAAGTTATTTTTAGAATGATGTTAACGTGTACTCGATGCTGTTTTGAGCGAAGCTCTATGTAATGCTATTTAATTCTTCTTAAAACATTTGCTAAACAAACAAACATATTGCATCAACAATCAACATTCATATTTAGACATGATTATAAATGGCTGGAGCAAAGCCTAGCCGATACCGGCTTGTGAGGGAAAAAAAACAACACTTTTTTAGAAAAGAATGAAAGCTGTAAAAAAAAAAAAATCCTTATATGGCTGAAGGCTGTGGGGTGGTGAATATAAGCCGGGGGTGAATGGACAAGATTAAAGATTTCGTTTTCAAATCTTTAAGAAAATTAAGGAACGTCTTAAATAGGAAGTATAAAATATATAACACAATCTTATGTGGCTACCTGATCAATGAAAATTCTTAGAATGAAAAATGGATATATATATATATATATATATATATATATATATATATATATATACGTGCTTGGCATGGATAAATAGACCACAATGCCACATTATCTTGATGTAACTTTGTATGTATTAAAAAAAATTTGATGTACATTCTGTCAAAAAGAACATTTCAACCTTATAAAGCTTTTTTCTATTTATAAAAAAAAAGTTTTATTTTTGGAGGCGAACTAAAAAAACACAATTCAATTATGGCAACATCCTTTTTCTGTTGTTTTAGTGAAGAAAAATAGGGACAAAAAGAAATGTAAGAAATCATATTTGGCAGCTTTACGATGAAAATGCTTTTGTTTGTTTTCTGTTTTTTTATGCAGTGTTTTGTCCTGATCTTCTGTAGGGAAACAGATTCACACATTCATTCATCTAAAAAGTGGACGATTTTACATTTCTTTTATGTAGAAATTTTTTTTTAATGACGTTATTTTCTGCTACATTTCCTCACTAAACTACGAGATTTCTTAAGCTACATCGCCATTGTGGAGAACTAATCGATACAATTCTCCAAACTTAAGCGGTCATTGTATTTGTCGCGTGCAACCAAACACAACAGGATTGTCACAGCACACAGCAGAATTAAAATAACAAGCAAGTAGACCATAAAGGCAAGGTCATAGCACACAGAATTAAAATGATAGCAAGTAGAAAATCTAGACAAAGTCCAAAAAGACTAAATGAAAAAAAAAAGTTGAAAAGATGATAATGCACGTTACTTGTAAAAGAAAATAACGATCAAGACCTGTTATGATTAGGTCGCTCTAACACACACTACTTACCATGTGTGTCAATATTCTTTCATCTGCCTATCAACAACGTTGAAAAGATTCATTTCCTTTCGAAATAAAAAAAAATCTCTATACTAAAATCTCCCATGTCTTGCCTTAGACTCTAGATTTCTAAACCATCTCGTGTTTACTTTGTAAAAAAAAAATTGTCACATCTATAGACCCCCCCCCCCCACCCCTATTGTTGCAGGACTTTGAAGAGTCTGGAATATTCGAGGCCCAGACGGAGCTGGAGAAGGTCCAGAAAGCCGAGGAGGACCAGTTGTATCTCCAAATACAGCAGGAGAGGAAGAAGAAGGTGAGCAGCCATTGGTCGACTTCTACTTGTAACGTCCATTTTGATTGGCTGTTTGGTGTTTGCTTTATTACATGGATAACATATAAAACAACTAATAAATAGATATTGGATAAAACATTTTTTTACAAACTAAAACTTTATTATTCTATATAGATGTGTGTGTGTGATTGGTAGTGTTCTTTATATTCATGTGTGTAGATATGATTTATGTGTGTAGTGGTGTGTGTAGTATTGTAGTGATGTGTAGTAATGTGTGTAGAGATATGTGTATTTGCGGGTAGTGTTGTGTAATGATGTGTGTGGTAATGTGTGTAGAGATGTGTGTAGTGATGTCTGAAGATGTGTGAAGGTATGTAGTGATGTATGTCGGTGTACATCCCCCTGAATGCCCACAGGTGAAGAGACTGGAGGAAGAGTTGAGGGCGGAGATGGAGAGGTCAGTGAGAGACATGGTGTCCACGTTTGAGAGGTTCTCCCCCCAGAAGGGCAAGACCCGCCTACAGAAGGAGACAGAGAGGCTTGAGGAAACCTACAGGTACTCACGCTACTAATCGATGGAGGCAGGTGAAGCAGAGTGGGGCATCGATCACTTGTTTAAATTGTTTTAAATGTATTTTTTTAAGTTGAGTTTTTTTTTTAAAGTTGATTATCAATCACTTGATTGAGTTGATGTTTCAAACGTGATAAACGGCAGCGATGTCTTGATTAAGATTGGATATGTGAGGAGTGTTTAAAGTCTGATGAATCTTTTTATTTTTTAAAATCTGTTGATTTATTTGAATATTTTAAATCTGATACATACTTGTTGATGTTTATAACCTGATGATTTATTTGAATATTTTAAATCTGATACATACTTGTTGATGTTTACAACCTGATGATTTATTTGAATATTTTAAACCTGATACATACTTGTTGATGTTTACCACTTGACTACAGGAGGAAGAAGGAAGAAAAAGTTCGTAAAATGATCGACAGACTCAGCAACGAACAGAGAGCCAAAGTGGCAAGTCTGATACAGAAACATAGCCAGGAGATGTTGTTGCTCATAGCTGAAAGGCTGACGGCTTCTGAGGTAAGCCATAGAAATATAGCTAGGAGATGATTATAGCTGAAAGGCTGACGGCCACTGAGGTAAGCCATAGAAATATAGCTAGGAGATGATTATAGCTGAAAGGCTGACGGCCACTGAGGTAAGCCATAGAAATATAGCTAGGAGATGATTATAGCTGAAAGGCTGACGGCCACTGAGGTAAGCCATAGAAATATAGCTAGGAGATGATTATAGCTGAAAGGCTGACGGCCACTGAGGTAAGCTGTAGAAATATAGCTAGGAGATGATTATAGCTGAAAGGCTGACGGCCACTGAGGTAAGCCATAGAAATATAGCTAGGAGATGATTATAGTTGAAAGGCTAAGGTAAGGCGTAGAGATATAGCTAGGAGATGTTGATGCTCATAGCTGAAAGGCTGAGGTAAGCCGTAGAAATATAGCTAGGAAAAGATTATAGCTAACGGCCTCACGTAAGCCATAGAAATATAGCTAGGAGACGCTCTTAGCTGAAAGGCTGACGTATTCTAAGTAAGCCTCTTTGAAGCTGATTGGTGCTTAGAGAAACGGTGCTTGTATGTGCAGTATGAACACATGCCCGTATATGATGATACTTGGTAGAAAACACGCTGAGGCTGATGTAGCCTATGATGTTGTTTAGTCTTTAGTTCAAGTGGAAGTACACCATCACACACACAGCACACACACCATCACACACACTTAAATTTATAAATTAAAAAATATGTATATCAAAATCTTCCGTAGCGGGAAACTTTATTTCCAGAGTTCATACATAAATCTTTAAGTGTGTGGGGGAGGGTGTGGTGACTTGGGGGTGGGGAACAAGCAGACAGCAACTACGCTGACATACACGTTGTGTATAGGGACGGGCAGAGGGGATGGGAGACACACTGAGTACGGTGGGGAGGGGGGTTATCATCAGGCCTAGAGGCGAGAAACAGAGAGGGGAGGGAAGGGGAGATTTACTGTCTGCTTGCACGTGTAAGTCATCTTAAGTCACATTTCACCCAGGTTGTGACTTTGAAATATCGTTATGAGAAATAAAATAGTCAAAAAATAACCAAATCACCTTTAAGAAAAAATATCAAACCTATCAAAACTCAGTAACTCGCTTCAGTTTTCCCTCGTGTTATGTAAGAAAAAAACCCAATCAATAACAGAATAAAACTATATTTAATGTCTCGACGTTTGCTGGCCTCTAGATGTTGATCTCAATTAAATCTAATCAACTAGTATACTCCGGTAATTAAGTTAATTAAATCTAATCAACTAGTATACTCCGGTAATTAAGTTAATTAAATTGAAACTGATGATGTCATACTGCAGATAAGCAGGTGTTACCATGGTAACTAGTAAACAGCACTGCGTCATCAAATATTAGTCACCGAACAAGCATTGCCTAGATTTGAACCGCAGACAATCAGACCTGCTTTGGTGTGTCTACCATACTAGTGACCTTGACCTTGCACCCTGACCTTGCAAATTTCTCTCACACAGGACCGAGTGTCCAGCGACTCGGAAGAGAACTCACCTACCATTGACCTTTCAAGGCCACCGCCCGTGACCCCGCCAGAGTTCAAAAGGTCACAGCTGTTCAAGTCACCCAAAGAGTTTGAGAAGATCGACAATCACGTGTTTCAGGTATGTGGTGACATTTGGTGGTGACATTTGATGGTGACATTTGATGGTGACATTTGGTGGTGACATTTGGTGGTGACATTTGGTGGTGACATTTGGTGGTGACATTTGGTGGTGACATTTGGTGGTGACATTTGGTGGTGACATTTGGTGGTGACATTTGGTGGTGACATTTGGTGGTGACATTTGGTGGTGACATTTGGTGGTGACATTTGGTGGTGACATTTTGTGGTGATATTTGGTGATGACATTTGGTGATGACATTTGGTGATGACATTTGGTGATGACATTTGGTGGTGACATTTGGTGGTGACATTTGGTGGTGATATTTGGTGATGACATTTGGTGGTGACATTTGGTGGTGACATTTGGTGGTGACATTTGGTCGTGACATTTGGTGGTGACATTTGGTGGTGACATTTGATGATGACATTTGATGATGACATTTGATGATGACATTTGATGGTGACATTTGGTGGTGATATTTGGTGGTGACGTTTGATGGTGACATGAGATTGTATGGGCCCTCACCAGAATGCCAGCATATTATGACATTTGTGTTTCAGATCGTCCAAAAAGAATACTCAACCTTCACGGAGCTGGTGAAAGATCTGATTGTCATATGCGAGACAGATCTGGACAAGGCCAGGTACAACCATAAAACATTTAGTGTTTTTCTGGTCTAAGGGAAACAACTCATGCAATATTTTTTTTACATGTTTTAAACATGGGTTGTGTACCCTGAGCTACTCCTAACTACCGATACAAAAATTGTTCTAAAATATTTTGGACGTTATTATTAGAGAAAGTGATGAGTTAAAAACAAATAAAAAATTATTTTAACTTAATTAGTGTAAAAGTTTTAGAAGGGCTGTAAATTCAGATGAAATTGATATAAGGTCACTAGGTCAGTGAGTTAAGGTCACTAGGTCATTCAGTGAATGAAGTTACATGGTCAGTGAACTAAGCTGAGACTGATGTATTTCCACTGTCTCCCCTCCCGCCAGGGCCATCTTCCGCTGGGTCACGTGGACTGACCTGAACGAGCTGGAGGTGGAGGACACCGTCTGCCCTGACAGTCCCCTGGGTCTGCTGCGGGGGATCAAGTACGGCACGGAGACCTACCACGACCTGTGCAGGAGATTATGCAGGTGGGTGTGGCCAGTGGGCAGGTGGGTGTGGCCTGTGGGCAGGTGGGTGTGGCCTGTGGGCAGGTAGGTGTGGCCTGTGGGCAGGTAGGTGTGGCAAGTGGGCAGGTGGATGTGTTAAAGGGCAGGTGGGTGTGGCCTGTGGGCAGGTGGGTGTGGGCAGTGGGCAGGTGGGTGTCGCCAGTGGGCAGGTGGGTGTGTGCAGTGGGCAGGTGGGTGTGGGCAGTGGGCAGGTGGGCAGGTGGGTGTGGGCAGTGGGCAGGTGGGTGTGGGCAGTGGGCAGGTGGGTGTGTTAAAGGGCAGGTGGGTGTGGGCAGTGGGCAGGTGGGTGTGGGCAGTGGGCAGGTGGGTGTGGGCAGGTGGGTGTGTTAAAGGGCAGGTGGGTGTGGGCAGTGGGCAGGTGGGTGTGGGCAGGTGGGTGTGGGCAGTGGGCAGGTGGGTGTGGCCAGTGGGCAGGTGGGTGTGTTAAAGGGCAGGTGGGTGTGGGCAGTGGGCAGGTGGGTGTGTACGGTCTTTTTGTATGGTCGATAAAAAAATTAATAATACTAAAGAAAACAATCGCATAATTGATTATCATAGCATAATTTTGTCCAATGATCATTTGTAAACCATTAAAAAAAATTTCAATTTTTGCTATTATACTTCTCAGTTAACACCGTGTAGGCCTATTGCTCGAAATTTTAAATAATATTCATAACGTTGAAAACAATAAACTAATAATATTTTTAAAATGTCAACATCAATTAAAGGAATCTATCAAATATTAAGGAAAATACAGTTATAATTTTATAATTTAGCTTTAAAGAGAGACAAAAAAAAATGATTGCTAACTGACCTGTGAACTTTGACTGTTGATTCAGCTACGCAGGTCTATACTGTGAGGTGATTGAGGGCTATTCTAAAGGTGCAGGCTACAAGCCGGGCATGAAGATGGAGAGCGACAGGTTCAGGTGAGTTCAACGTGAGCAAAGCACGTGCGACAGGTACTGCTACCACACACACCACATCATACACACACCGCTCACACACCAAACACACACCACTAATCCCGCTTACACCACTCACACACAAACATACACACACACATGTAACGCAGCACACACAAAACATCACTTAGTCTAATTATATTTACTCTATCCACTACTAAATTAAAAAATTGGTTAAGAATAAATCTCCATCGTAGCAATTGTGTTTATCTATAAATCAATAACTGAGTTTGTCCTTAAATCAAACTTTGACCATAATGAACCTTGACCTTGTCCCCTCCCCAGGAACTCGTGGACGGCGGTCAGCATAGACGGCTCCTGGTGCTTCATCAACTGCAACTGGGGGGCCCGCCACGTCAAGGGGAGTGAGGTGGGGCCCAGCAAGAAGAAGCGCGAGGGTCTGAGGCTAGACAGCAACACACACACCCACTACAACAACGTCGACATCCTGCACGAGCAGGATCTCAGCGAACCCCGGGGTGGGGACCGGCGGGACAGTCTGGAGACCCGGGAGAGTAGCGGGGTGCCTCAGCTCAATGGCGAACCCAGTCTCGGTGGGGGTGGTGGCACCCCCGGGGCTGGGCTTTGTGGTGCGGGCGTGTATGGTAGTACCCAGAGCAACTTATTCGCAGGGGATTACAGACATCGGAACGGGAGCAACAGTTCATTCAGTGACAACTATGCCCGGTCTAAACTACAAGGTTTGTGTAGCAATTCAGGTCATCCACAGAATTCTGGATTTAATGGATATAGCAGTCCTTACGCGGTTCCTAATGGATATTCAATGAATTCAGATCAAAACAAATCGCATAGTGTTCGGAAATTGTTACCGGATGGCGGAAGTAACAAAGAGAATGGTCTAGATGACGCCAGCATCGCTTCCATTGACGGCTTCTCTGGCCGCTCCCTGCTCGACGCCTTCTACAACAAAGACATCAAATCAAAGCTGGCGGTGGCCCGGCTGTCAGATGGTGACACGGCCAGCTTCAGCAGCGGCTGCAGCAAGTCCAGCACGGAGAACATGTCACCCTCCCAGTCACCCTTCGCCTCCAGCGGCTCCACCCCCCGCTCGGGCGGCGCCTTCAGCGTCCACTCGGACTCGTCGTCCTCCTCACACAAAGACAGCGACAGGTACTCACCCCCACAGTCGCTCTTCCGCTCCCGGCAGCCCGAGGGGTGCGGGGCCATGCGCCCCTCCCCTCCCCAGTCCGTGTTTAGAAACTCCTCAGGGTCAGACAACTCCACGAGTTCTATCCGATCCTCCCCGCCCCAGTCCCTCTTCAGGGTGGCGCCCATCCCCTACACCCCCTCAAAGACGTCACCCCCCAGCTCGCTGCTGAGATTTGCAGGACTGACCTCTGGCTCTGCTGCAGGTGACTTCCTGAAGCAGACGGACAGGCTGTCCCCACCCCAGTCGGACTCGGAACGGTAAATAGTTTCACTTGACCTCATTTGTTGTCGTGTAGTTAGATGAGATATTGACACGTTACGTCATCTTTCATGAATGTCTAAACCATAACAGGGTGGTCACGTGATGTAAATAACCTGAGGGTTCTTGGTTACTCCAAGTTTTATATTTAGACAACTGGTTTATTATGAGACAACCCAGCTTAATTGGGTACCCATTATTAGTTGGGGAAAGCTAAAGGATGTATTGCTGGTTACACAAGATTTTAAATAAAACAAGTATAAATTATTAGTTAAAAGGTGACCTTGCCTGGAATATTTTAAGCCTGAGAGTGAGCAGACTAAGATGTCAATTGTGTGTTAGAGTGAGTAGACTAAGATGTCAATTGTGTGTTAGAGTGAGTAGACTAAGATGTCAATTGTGTGTTAGAGTGAGTAGACTAAGATGTCAATTGTGTGTTAGAGTGAGTAGACTAAGATGTCAATTGTGTGTTAGAGTGAGTAGACTAAGATGTCAATTGTGTGTTAGAGTGAGTAGACTAAGATGTAAACTGTGTGTTAGAGTGAGTAGACTAAGATGTCAATTGTGTGTTAGAGTGAGTAGACTAAGATGTCAATTGTGTGTTAGAGTGAGTAGACTAAGATGTCAATTGTGTGTTAGAGTGAGTAGACTAAGATGTCAATTGTGTGTTAGAGTGAGTAGACTAAGATGTCAATTGTGTGTTAGAGTGAGTAGACTAAGATGTCAATTGTGTGTTAGAGTGAGTAGACTAAGATGTCAATTGTGTGTTAGAGTGAGTAGACTAAGATGTCAATTGTGTGTACACAGGTGGCGAAACAGCGACAGCTCCGGGGGTAGGTCAGAGCGACGTGACTCGATCAGCACGGTGGGGGAGAGCCTGATCGGTGAGGACCCGGGGACGGACCTGTCCAGGCAGCCGCTGTACTACCAGTGTGACGAGTTCTACTTCATCACCGACCCGGAGGACCACATCTACCAGCACTACCCCGACACCCCCGCCTGGCAGCTTCTGGAGGTACCTATCACCATGTCCGAGTTCCTTGCACTCCCCATCGTCAAGTCTCCGTTCTTCAACGCCGGCCTCAAGTTTGCATCCCACTACGACTGTAAGCAGCACACACAGAAAGGGGAGGTCACCCTCCAGCTGAAAATCCCACGTCTGTTGAGTTTTGGCTACACGCTAGCTCACCGCGACAAGAGGACGGTGAGTCAGAGCTCACTAGACGGTCGCGTGCTGCTACGCATCATTGGTCATAAAGCTATGTTTACCATAGCGCCCCCAAAACGAGGCCGGTACTACTTCACCATATACGTTAAAGACGACAGCGGTTCGGATCTGCTACAGAGCGCCTGCGCTTTCTTGATCACCTGCCGTGAAGGGAGAGAAACCATCAAGTCCCCGTACCCTAAAGTGGCCTTTTTCGGACCCACCCTGGCCATGTCGAGTTACGGCCTCCTACCCCAGACCCACATCGACCCCCTGGTATCTTACAACCACGACGACATCAACTTTCAGTTCGCCGCTAGCCGGACCGTCCGGCTCTCCTACTCCCTGACCTTCCACTGCCAGCGTGCAGACGCCATAGACGCGGACCTGCAGCGGTACGCCTTCCTCAGACACCGTGACGACACGTCCATGGCGCTACAGGTCCGCTGTCCACACGTCGGCAAGTACGTCTTCTCCATCTACGGCGCCAAGTCCGCCAATCCGGAGGAGCCGGACGGCCAGTATGAGTGTCTGTTCCGGTACCTGATCGACTGCAAGCAGAGCGCCACCAACAAGTCCCCGCTCCCCCGTGCCTGCCACCGCTGGTGCCACAGCCAGCTCTTGGAGCCCGTGCACGGGGACCTCGCCACCAACTCCCGCGTCACCTTCCGCGTCAGGGCCCCGCTTGTCTGCGACATGGCGCTGTTGATGGGTGACGCCTGGTACCACTTCCGGAATCACCCAGACCATATATGGGAAGCGTCCCTGACGACCAGCGCCACGCCTTGTATTGCCAAGTTGTATTCCAGACTGAACAGAGAAACGGCCAGGTTCTCTCCTTTCTTGGAATTCCAAATCGTGGGTAAAAACACATAAAGGTGGACTGGACAAGATGCAGGTGGAACAGCCGCTCCTGTCAAATGTACTTTCATTTCATGCTATTCAAATATCTAAACACTTAATTTGTTTAACTTTTCTAATGCCGTTAATTAAATAACGCTAAGTGCTCAAATAATGAATCAAGCGTTAAAATTGTTACCTGCAAACGTTCAAATCTGGTGCTTACCTGCGCATCATGGCGAGAAGGTGTCGTGTTACTTAAGGTTGTTGGCGCAACAGATTGTTCTAGAAAATATTTATTTTTGTAAAGTAGATCAACCTATTTTAAAGTCGACGTTTAGTCACTGTGAAGGTTCGTGAATATTCCTTAGATTTTTAAACAGCTATCATCGAGTCGGTGGGGCGTGGGATGTTCAATCAAGTGTGTCGTCACACAGTTGTGTTGTTCACTACAACACGTGCACATACAGGTGTTTACGTGAATCAAACGGTAGCAACACTCGTGATCTCATGTGTCCCACGTGATCTCGTGTGTTCCACGTGATCTCACGTGTACCACGTGATCTCATAAGCCCCACGTGATCTCGCGTGTCCCACGTGATCTCATGTGTCCCACGTGATCTCTTGTGTCCCACGTGATCTCATGTGCCCCACGTGATCTCGTGTGTTCCACGTGATCTCACGTGTACCACGTGATCTCATAAGCCCCACGTGATCTCGCGTGTCCCACGTGATCTCATGTGTCCCACGTGATCTCGTGTGTTTCACGTGATCTCTAGTGTGTCCCACGTGATCTCACGTGATCTCGTGTGTCCCACGTGATCTCACGTGTGTTGCCATAGCAATAAGCGAGGTCAGGCAGCTCAAAGACATCCATCCAGGTCTCACTGTAAGTATACCTTTCCTGTAAATATACCATCCTGTGTAAGTATACCTTTCCTGTAAATATACCATCGTGTGTAAGTATACCTTTCCTGTAAATATACCATCCTGTGTAAGTATACCTTTCCTGCAAATATACCATCCTGTGTAAGTATACCTTTCCTGTAAATATACCATCCTGTGAAAGTATATTTTTCCTGTAAATATACCATCCTATGTAAATAAACTGTTCAGTGTAAATATACCATTCATGTACAATCGGTTTGAATAGCTAACTTATTTCGTCGAACGAATTCGTGCAATACTTATGAATTATTTTCTGCCACTTCAAATTATTTATTTCATCGTGTTTCATTACACAATGTCCATTCATTTAAACAGTAGAACTAAATTCATTTTGATATTTAGCACCAATAATTAATTTCTTGATTAAGTTTAATGTTGATAGAATTAAATATGCTCTTATAATCACTGTCAACTTGTACATATATATATATATATAATATATATATATATATATATATATGCATACATACATATCTATATATAAAGTATATAAGTATATCTATAATATAAGCGGGCTGTGTCTGTCCTTCCTTCCTTCCGTCCGTCATCGCTATAGATTTTGGGACTATAAAAGTAAACTGCGCACCACGCTGTGCTTTTCAGTGCACCGCAGTGTCTTATTATAAGTATTAGAGTAGGGTTTGTTTATATAGCGGCATAGAGCTATTTTATAATTGCCACGGTTTTTACTCTTTCGCATAACGTCAAGAAAATATTAAATACACGCAAACTGCTAAAACGTATTAAAAAGATTAATGTCAAATATCATTTTAGTTTATATTCCTAGAAAAAATGGATACATTTCCATAAAAGTAGGTCGAAAAAGCTAATTAATTCCACTTTTTTTTTGTGGTAATTGTTTGAAGGGAGGTAATTTGAAAATATATTTAACTCAACAATAATTTAAGTTAATCTTTTTTTTATTACTACCGCATTGATTAGTCTATGTTAAGGTTCATAATTAAAAGAGAAAAATGTTAAGATTATTTATATTATTTTCTAATTAGTCTATGATTTCTCAAAATCACTATTTTTTGTTTTTGTTTTTTGGTGCTAACAGATGGTGAAATTTTATAATTATAATATAGAGAATGGTGGAAAGACTCTCTCTGGGCGCGGACGCCTGGGAAAAGCGTGATTTTCGGTGGTAATTCTAATTACATTGCCAATGTGTTTTCTTAGAACCATAAAAGTAAACACCACTTGCCGTACATTCATTTGCATCGCATTGTTTTATTGTAAGTTATGGAGTAGGATCTATTTATGTGACTTAAATTTTTAATGTTGGAAAGGGTCTCTTTGGGCGCGGACGCCTAAAAAGCGTGTTGTTTGGTGGTGATTCTAATGTTGTGGTTGTGTTGTTTTTTTTTTTCTTGGTTGTGTTGTGGTTGTGTTGTGGTTGTATTGTGGTTGTTTTTTGGTTGTGTTGTGGTTGTGTTGTGGCTGTGTTGTGGTTGTGTTTTTGTTGTGGTTGTGTTTTTGTTGTGGTTGTGTTGTAGTTGTGTTGTGTTGTGTTGTGTTTGTGTTGTGGTTGTGTTGTGGTTGTGTTGTGTTGTGGTTGTGTTGTGGTTGTGGTTGTGTTGTGGTTGTGTTGTGTTTGTGGTTGTGTTTTTTGTGTTTGTGTTGTTTTTGTTTGTTAGGTTCTGTTCCAAAGTTGGTACATTTAAAAAAGATTTACCGTGGCGGAGCACGGGATGCAGCTAGTATTTATATATAAATAAATATTTATAGATATAAGTATATATATAAATATATATATATATATATATATATATATATATATATATATATATATATATATATATATATATATATATATATATATATATACATATATATATATATATATATATATATATATATATATATATATATATATATATATATATATATATATAATATATATATATATATATATATATATATATATATATATAATATATATATATATATATATATATATATATATATATATATATATATATATATATATATATATATATATATATATATGTATATATATATATATATATACTTCTATATATATACTTCTATATATACTTATATATGTATACACACACACATTGGTACCTCGACATAAGAATGTCCTGATATATGATATATTTTTTTTTTACATACGAGCCGCCTATTGAGCGATGCTTTGCCTCGAAATACAATCTCTATTACACAAAATATTTCTCATAAATACGTTTTTCTTGTCATACACAACTTAAAAAAACCCGCTGGGGTTGCAGATGGGGACGGGTGGGGGTTGAACAAATAGTTTGTTTTTCAATTAACTTTAATTTTTCGTGCAATACGAGCAATTTGGCTCACGATTAAAATTACGTCAATAATTAATTTGTATCTCGACTCGAGGTACCAATGGACACATATATATATATATATATATATATATATATATATATATATATATATATATATATATATATATATATATGCCTATGTATACACAGACATATATATTTATATATACTTAGACCCACTTTGAATGTCTTAATATTTAGTTATTACCTGTGTTTATTTATTTGTAAGGTTTATAAAAACCATTCATGTGCAATACAAGAATTACGTCATCATTTCTTGCGTACTTCTGTGTTTAGTGAACTCTTATTTTACTAGAGTGTTTACATATTCGTATGCCTTTTTTAAACTCAAAAGTTTTTGCTTTTTCTGTGATTGAAATATAACACCATTTCATGGAAGGAAATAAACAATGTGAAAAATATTATTGCTTTGGTTTCGTTCTTCGTGTTGATGTTCCTGATATTATGGGATGGCGTAGTTGGATAGTTCGACAAGCTGTTGCTTATGAGAAAATTGACAGATTGAAGCTACGAAATTCGGATGATTCACATTAACATTCAAGATACTTATAACTTATAGAAATTTTAAATTGTTTTATTAACATGCAAAAATTTTACAAAAGCAATGAATCGATGGCCTGCTGTAATTGATGACGTCAAGTAATCTAAGCTAGTGTGATTATATATGAATATATATATATATATATATATATATATATATATATATATATATATATATATATATATATATATATATATATATATATATATATAATTCATTATCAAGATAAAACTGAATTTTATTTTTATTATGATCAAGGTGATTATGTGCAATAAAAACGTCACACTTCAGCCAACCCCCCCCCCCCCCCCCCCCCATACTGCAATATACTTATGAAAAGCAATGTAATCGTAAATGTAAGTGTGACGACCCTGCTCCTCCCCTCTAGGTGTGCACGTGACCAATGGCCGACCTCTGGCAGATTTGTAATGCTTGATTCAAGAAATCTATGAAATGTTAGTCAAGGGAAACAACTACGTTTAAACAACTGAGATAAGATATTATTGAATGCTCTCCCCTTAGTCGATTTGCGTCGACAATGCAGGTTGTTTTAGAATAAATGATAAAATAAAACATAAAAAATAATAGGCGTTTAAATGCACTGAAAATAAAAATAATAATCATTAAAAAAGTTTTAAAAAACCCACGTTTTCTGATTGAACTAAAAAGTAGAAAATAAATGCTATAGGCCCTACATCACAATAATGCAAGCGATCACTCTACTATAAGCGATCAAAAACGTGGGGCGTCGAAGTAAAAGTTATATTACTATTGATTAGATAATACTATTGACTTTTATTAGGGAGCTTGTAGAGAGTCAACAGTATTAGAAACTGTAAGAAAATCACGGCGCCCCACGTTTTTGCTTGCTTATAGTAGAGTGATCGCTTGCATTATTGTGATGTAGGGCCTATAGCATTTATTTTCTACTTTTTAGTTCAATCAGAAAACGTGGGTTTTTTAAAACTTTTTTAATGATTATTATTTTCTACTTTTTAGTCTTTGTCTGTTTGTTTGCATTAAAATCTTGCTATCGATTTTATCTTTTCACTTTTTTTGGGTAAACGAAGACAACTCGTAAAAAGACAACTCGTAAAAAGACAACTCGTAAAAAACACGTTGTTTGAATACGTTACTGACTAGAACACATAGATTTGAACCCGTGTCGAGTGGGATAGCAATCGTGTGCCCAACCACTCGACCATATCGTCTCCCCCAAACTGGCCTACCTTCTGTAAGTTTAAACTCGGTTCAAGCTAAATTCTCTGCCCCTAAGCCTGTGGCGACATGTGATCGTTCGCTTCACTGCGCGCGAGGTACGCGTCGCTGGTTTTTTTTCTAATGGCTAGCAGAGGAGGATTATATATATAGATTATATAGCGGTCTAAAATGCTCAATAAAATGTTTCCATTGATCAATTTAGTAATAATAACAATTGAATATTCAATGGTCATCCAAAAGAAAGCTTCCCTGAAAATTTCAGCGCGCTAGCTAACTGGGAAGTGCCAGAAATTTCGATCGCAAGATTTGATTGGAAAGACAAACAGAGAAAGCAAGTTAAAGAAAACGTGGGAATAAGTAAAAAAAACCTTTCTTAGTTAAATTAACGCATTGTTTACTCATGATATCCCTTACATATTTTCAGCATATTTTGTATCATTTTTAGTTTCAGTACAGCTAACTTATTAAAAAGGTTTTTTTTTTTTCTCTGCTATTTCAAGTAATTGAAATTTAAAAAACTAATGTCTTTTAAGTTTTAAAAGAGAGAGTTTTTTTTTGCATACAAAATTGACAACTGGTACCACTAAATATATTTTCTCTACATTTAAAACATGATTGGTGGCTTGCATTCTGAACTCTTAAAAGTAAAAACTTCCTTTCTAAGGTTTAGTGGTTGGCTCTCAGGCGTGGAAACAGCTCAACAATTGATCGTGTATCCCTACAAGATGATATTGTTGTTTACCTTAGAGAAAATAGTAATCCTGAAATGATCTTAAATGACTAATTTAATTAGATAAAAATTCAGATACTCTTGCACTGTCAGCGAAGTATCTGGAACATGTGAATGATATACCAGCAAAGGTCAAGGGAAAGTATGGACGACCCTTGACCTTTACACGTACACGGTGGTACTAGTGAGGATTTGAGTGCTCTGGGTGACTGGGGGGGGGGGGGGGGGGGGGCAGGGTGGAGTCTTCTACAGATGGCTGGGACATTCAACAACTGACATTCACATCCAACACTGGCACATAAAACAACTGACATTCACATCCAACTGGGACATACAACAATTGACATTCACATCAAACTGGGACATACAACTGACATTCACATCCAACTAGCACATAAAACAAGTGACATTCTCATCCAACTGGGACATAAAACAACTGACATTCACATCCAACTGGGACATAAAACAACTGACATTCACATCCAACTGGGACATAAAACAACTGACATTCACATCAAACTGGGACATACAACAATTGACATTCACATCAAACTGGGACATACAACTGACATTCACATCCAACTAGCACATAAAACAACTGACATTCACATCCAACTGGGACATACAACAACTGACATTCACATCCAACTAGCACATAAAACAACTGACATTCACATCCAACTGGGACATACAACAACTGACATTCACATCCAACACTGGCACATAAAACAACTGACATTCACATCCAACTGGGACATACAACAACTGACATTCACATCCAAGGACAGGCACATAAAACTGAGAAAGTCAAAAGGCTTATTACAATTCAATGCATTTATTGTATAGTACAATACTACAGACAAATAAAACCCAGACAGACAACAGACATGTAGAACCTAGACAGACAAAACAATCCAGATGGAACTTGACCTCAGCATGTGACTACCACCCCCGTCTCTCAACTTGACCTCAGCATGTGACTACCGCCCCCGTGTCTCATAGTTTGTCAAGCTCCGTGAGTTCCTTGACTGGCCTGAATTACCCTTATACTTCCTGCTGTACTTTAAGCTTGTCACTATAGTCGGCCGGCCAGGGAAGGCAGTTTTCCCGTCAAAGAAAGTGTCCGTCTCCGGATCAAACCTCACCGGCTCCAGCTGGATGTGCAGGTTTTTGGGCAGGTTCAACTTGGCCATGTCTTCGTAGCTGGACGTGTCGCGGACAGGTGTGGCAAAAAACTGGACGACATCTTGTACTGTGTTCATGGTGCTGAGGTCAGCGTGAGGGATGGAGTGGTCAAACTCTGTCATCAGTTTGGTCAGCAACTGAAAGTAAACAAAACCAGAGGAATGGAGCGGTCAAACTCTGTCATCAGTTTGGTCAGCAACTGAAAGTAAACAAAACCAGAGGAATGGAGCGGTCAAACTCTGTCATCAATTTGGTCAGCAACTGAAAGTAAATAAAACCAGAGGGATGGAACAGTCAAACTCTGTCATCAGTTTGGTCAGCAACTGAAAGTAAACAAAACCACTGGCTGCAGGATGGTTGTTGGTTCAAGTCTCCCTACAGGTACCACACCTCAATGTTTAAGCCAGCCAGTAGACAACTAGGCTACAACATTTAACTGCTACAGCCTGTAGACAAGTAGGCTACAACATTTAACTGCTACAGCCTGTAGACAAGTAGGCTACAACATTTAACTGCTACAGCCTGTAGACAACAAGGCTACAACATTTAACTGCTACAGCCTGTAGACAACTAGGCTACAACATTTAACTGCTACATCCTGTAGACAACTAGGCTACAACATTTAACTGCTACAGCCTGTAGACAACTAGGCTACAACATTTAACTGCTACAGCCAGTAGACAACTAGGCTACAACATTTAACTGCTACAGCTTGTAGACAACTAGGCTACAACATTTAACTGCTACAGCCTGTAGACAACTAGGCTACAACATTTAACTACTACAGCCTGTAGACAACTAGGCTACAACATTTAACTGCTACAGCCTGTAGACAAGTAGGCTACAACATTTAACTACTACAGCCTGTAGACAACTAGGCTACAACATTTAACTGCTACAGCCTGTAGACAACTAGGCTACAACATTTAACTGCTACAGCCTGTAGACAACTAGGCTACAACATTTAACTGCTACAGCCTGTAGACAACTAGGCTACAACATTTAACTGCTACAGCCTGTAGACAACTAGGCTACAACATTTAACTGCTACAGCCTGTAGACAACTAGGCTACAACATTTAACTGCTACAGCCTGTAGACAACTAGGCTACAACATTTAACTGCTACAGCCTGTAGACAAGTAGGCTACAACATTTAACTGCTACAGCCTGTAGACAAGTAGGCTACAACATTTAACTGCTACAGCCTGTAGACAACTAGGCTACAACATTTAACTACTACAGCCAGTAGACAACTAGGCTACAACATTTAACTGCTACAGCCTGTAGACAAGTAGGCTACAACATTTAACTGCTACAGCCTGTAGACAACTAGGCTACAACATTTAACTGCTACAGCCTGTAGACAACTACAACATTTAACTGCTACAGCCTGTAGACAACTAGGCTACAACATTTGACTGCTACAGCCTGTAGACAACTAGGCTACAACATTTAACTGCTACAGCCTGTAGACAAGTAGGCTACAACATTTAACTGCTACAGCCTGTAGACAACTAGGCTACAACATTTAACTGCTACAGCCTGTAGACAACTACAACATTTAACTGCTACAGCCTGTAGACAACTAGGCTACAACATTTAACTGCTACAGCCTGTAGACAACTAGGCTACAACATTTAACTGCTACAGCCTGTAGACAAGTAGGCTACAACATTTAACTGCTACAGCCTGTAGACAACTAGGCTACAACATTTAACTGCTACAGCCTGTAGACAACTAAATATGACGAAGAGATCTTACCTTAAACTTGAGAAGACGGTCATCAAGTCTGTAGCTGGGATCTATCTGGGCGCCAACAATTGATCCTGCCATAGCCACAACTTTCTGCTCTACATCAGGGGGAGGCGTGTAACCTTTGACACTGCACACTGACCTACACACAAAGTTAAGTCAGTTTCAATCACACATACAACTATTTCACAACATCAACATTTTAATCACACATACAACTTACTATTTCACAACATCAACATTTTAATCACACATACAACTATTTCACAACATCAACATTTTAATCACACATACAACTATTTCACAACATCAACATTTTAATCACACATACAACTATTTCACAACATCAACATTTTAATCACACATACAACTATTTCACAACATCAACATTTTAATCACACATACAACTATTTCACAACATCAACATTTTAATCACACATACAACCATTTCACAACATCCACATTTTAATCACACATACAACCATTTGACAACATAGAATAGTGTTGATGTCAGGAATTGTTTAAAAATGGTTGAGTGAAGCACAAAATGAGACAGCCGGTGCGTATTCTTGTGAGAGCACAGAGAGTGAATGATGTATTGATGTTGTATAGACTCAGTGACGAGTCATATAAGAACTACACACACGACAGAAACTGTCATCATTCAAAAAATATCATTATATTAAAGGAACATCAAGAGAACAATATCACAAGCAATTCACTCCGATTGAACAATTTCTTCATATAGAACACATGTTGGGGTTAGTTATGTCCATCTTTTACATGAGGAATGGCATAAATACAATGCTCTAACAAGACCAAACAAAAGGTTTTGTTCAACATATCAACTGGTTGATGCCTCTAGCCTAGGTCAGACTCACGTTTTTTTCTTCAGTGTCTGTAGTCTGGACATTGTGGTGGGACCATCAAATGGAACCATTTTACGGACACTCTCTTCTTTATCACCTTCCACAGATTTTGACTTTTTGAAAAACTTGGACCATGATGCCTGAAATTTTAGACAAGATCAAGAGAAGAGTTGAAATATTTAACTATCAGACAAGTTAAGTTTAAACAGTGTAAGATAATTACTCTAGCAGGAGTTTTTTAATTAATTGTAACAGCTTTTTACAGGTAGGCCTAATTGTAATGAATATGGAAAGTGGTAGAGGCCCTATATTCCATAAGGAGCAAAGAGGACTAACTCAAGTAAGTTAAGTCAATTTTATCTTCTAGAATAATGTTCTAGATATTCTGCTTCTGGCTAACCAAAACATAGCGTTAGGATCGGACCATGACTTCCGGCGAGTTTTTTGACTTAGTTCCAGAGACCTCCTTGAAATTACTTTTAAAAATGTTTACCACGAGCAAAATGGCAGGTTTTCACGTTATAAAAACATGCTATAGGTGGCAAGTCGAAATATGCCAGAAAAGCATTTTTAAAAATTGCTTTGGAGAATGTAGGCTAAATTTAAAGTCGGTGTCATTCAAAATAATATAACTTTTTAAATATATATCACAAAATTGATTTCCATAGTAAAGCATTATTAGTTTTATCATTCTATGAAAAAATAAATCAAATATCTTCAACCCCTTTTTTTATAAGAGTGGCCAAAAAATGACAATCAAATTTTTTTTATTTTTTTGACCACGTGACCGCTATTTGAATGGATACGTTTACCTGGCATGGTTTTTTATTTTGCTCTTTTGTACAATAAAAAATGTTATAAAATTAAAGACATAAAAGAATTCAAAAATCACTTCTGTGTTGTCTTTTTTTAAATTCTTTTCTGATGACATTCTCTTAAATTTTTTTCCTCTAAAAATATTACCCGACGATAGACGGGCCAATTCTACTTTTAGGAACTCTCTTGTGAAAAAAAATTAGATCTATTTCACGGTCACTTAAAAAGTTAAACCTTTCAACTTTTAACCAGGTTGTCATGGATGATCCATCATATCATAGCTGTGAGTGACAAAAAATTTAAAAATTCAATAATTTAGTCTAAACTCGCTACAACCCCCAAAATTAGTGCCTAGAGGATAAAGTATGGACGTTTTTTATTCAGTTGTCATGTTTAAATTGAGAATTGAGTAGATTTCACATATAGTAAGAAAAACTACTATTGTCTAGCGAGGCTCACTAACTTGAAAGCGTCTCTGGTTGCTAACAACAACATGGCGTCCTACACCGGACGCTTAGTTTCGGACATTTTTCTTGTCTGCCCAAGTGACTTTCTAGGAATTCGTTTTTAAAATGTTTACCTCGTGAAAAATGGCGGTTTTTTCACATAATGTAAACAAACTATAAATGGCAGTGCTAAATATGCCAGAGAAACGCTATAAATTGCTTTGGATAATGAAGACCGAAGCTCAAAAAGTGGTGCCGACAAACATTCGTAGATCTTTTTAAATATTAGCTACTACGATGTAGATCGGAAACCGAAAGTACATCAATATTAGATTTAGCAGTCTGTGTAAAAATAAATCGAATATTACATGCGCTAATTTTTAAAAAAATTCTCCAAAACGGTCACCACCAAAAGTAAAAATTCCATAACCCACGTGACCGCTATTGGGCGGGAGACGTTTGCCTAGGTGGCTCTATCGACTCTTTACTATGTTTGTGTTGTTATTTATGTTGACAAGCGTTAAGTGAATATTTTCCAATTTTGATTTTTACATTGCTGGACAAATTAATTAAGTATTTCGATCTGAACATGGGAAGATAGGAATTAGTTGGTATTTCTGTAAAAGCCCGTAAACCTGTGATCTCGTGGTGAAACGCGATCTCGATATGTCTAGTAAAGTCTAGGTGCTAAATTATTTACTTGATTTTATTATTACTAATTACGACTTGATCGAATTATAGTTAATATTATTTTCATTTGCTTTCATTTTTTATATAATTGATTATTATGATTTAGATCCAGAAGGACTAGGCTAATAAATTATAATAATCATATTAGAGGACAGCCTGCATAAACAAAAGTTGATCTAGATCTAGTTGACACAGTACTTGGACTTGCGCACACGCTCGCGTGACGAAAGAACGCAAGCGGGCTCGTGACGAATTTGCATAATTTTTCACTCACAAGTGATCAACGTTAATGTAGCCTAACAATCTTTAAATAGATCTAGACACCAGCTCTAGATACAAATTTAAGTATTAAAACTCCGCCTGGATATGTCTAGCTTCGGACGGGCGATGTTTCTCTCGTTGACAAAACAACGCGAGCGAGCCGTCACTACGCACAGCCTATGAGTGGCGATGTTTGGAATGCATTTCTCGCTCACATGTGATGAAATTTAATGCAACGACAGTTTTAAAAATAAAAACAGATATTTTATTATGTCTATATAGATCTACTTTTTTTTAATATTTAAAACTCAGCCTGGACAAAGCTTCCATGCTGGATAAGGGAGGAGGGTTAGATTCCGCCGTTAACTCAATCTATTATTATTAGGCCTAATTGTCCTAATTAAACATTCCTATTTACACTGATTAATCAAGACTGAATAAAAGTGAAAATGAATACCTTTAAAAAGTTTAGATCTATATATTTTTAAACATTTATACGTGATTTTTTTGGTTCATTCCTTTGGCGTTTACTAGAAATACAGTAAATAGATTACATAACCAAGTTACGAGTATCCTTTCGATTTCGTTTTATTGCAGCATACCTCCACTTCCCCCTCCCCACACATGATCCTTACGAACCTCCTTGGTCGTTTTCAGGTCAACTTTAGGAACCAGATCTTTGAATGGTTGTCATGGAAAAATCTTTCCCAGCTAAGCTGTATGGCACCAATAATTAAAATCATGTATTTTAGTTCAAAATGAGCTAAAATCATCAAATGTAGTGCCTGGTTAGTTAGAGAAATATCTCTAGCTTTTATTGGTATTGGTTAAAAAAATAAATAATTAAAATTAAGATTTAGTGAGCCTCGCTACTATTGTCACAAAAAGAAAATGGACGAGCAGTTTCAGAAAACGAGGAAATCTAAAAATAAAAATAACCTTGTGGTGTAATGTAGTGATAAAATCCTCTAAAAAATATATATGTAGTGTGAACCTGGTAAATGTACGCTAGTAAACTATGAAAGTAGAAATCTATATTAGAATAAATTTCAATAAAGTCCCAGGGCCAATTTTGGCCGAAAGAAACTGAAGATCGAAGAGTCGAAGACCCAGCTACACAGTTTTTCAAGCAGACGAAATCTAGAAATCTAGAAACTATTGAAAGTCAATTCATGTGTAGTCAAAATCACTTGCAAAATTTACGTTTAAAAACTTACATTTCTAATGTGAACGTTACAAAATGAGCAATATTTTGTGTTATTTAATACAAATGTTGCTCCACTACCAAGGACACTTCTCACGGAGGCTGCCATTTTCAGGTCATCCTAATAACCGTAAGAAAACAATACGAAAAATATGAAATAAATGGGAGGATCTAGACTAGCCTACAGGATAATAAAAAAATATTTAAAAAAAATCTCTATGATAACAAGCTTTTAAATTTAGGCCTACTAAATAAAACTTTCTTTTTAATGGCTTTAATTGCTGAAACGCGTCAGATATTTCTTGCGCAACGAACGCGTTAATTAAAGAAAAAGGTTGTTTTATTTTCTTATTATTTGTGCATTTAAAATCTTGTTAAAAATAGGCCCTAGGTTTGGCCTAATCTTTATTTTCTACTTTTTAGTAATTAGGAATTTTTAAAATTTTTAATTTCAAAATCTATAGATCTATGCATCTTTAAAAAAGAACTAGTACTAATTTATTCTTTCCATTCTAACACCCTTTCCGATAAATTGTAACTTGCTGCGTTCTTAAATAGACTACCTCTTAACTCTATTCGACAATTATTATTATATTTCCTTAATTAACGTTTGTGGTGGTGACGTAGCTACCAAAGGCTCTTTTCCCTAAAAAAAATTAAAACTTTTACATTGGAATTTTAATATAGAAAATAGAAATAATTAAAAGTTCTGCTTTCTGTTTTTATTTTCCTTAGACATAACAGGAAAAGTATTGGTCGTCAAAAGAAGTTAAAACTGTTTATCAGTAAAAAAAAAAAAATAAAAAAAAAAAAAAAAAAAAATTGCTAAAATTTAAAAAAAATGTTTCAATTAGACCTAGTTATCTTTTAAACAAATTTTATGACACAATTTGTTGTGAAATATTTAATTTCTAAACTGTTTAAAGCTTTAATTTAATAATTTTTTAAAGTGTTAGTCTACACAGGTGACGAAATGGACGAACACATTTCAAGTCAAAAGCTATGATACTGTAGTGAATTTGTTAGAAATCAGTCAATTGTGCTTAGTAGGGCAAGAAGAAAAATTCATATCTAAATAAATAGTTGTTATTATAGCATGAAAATTGGAAGAACTATTAGGCCAAGCTTGATCTTTAATTAGAATATCTTAGTGTTAGTTAGGAGCAAGCCGATATTATGGAAATCTACTTTAATTAGGTGTATTTGATGATATTTTTACAATATTTGCATGTTTGAAGTATTATTGTTGAAGGACAACTTATTGATGTTTATTGTAATTTGTATCATTGTAAAGGGAATTGTCTGTGGTTTCAGAGATAAGCTTATTAGAATTTTAGGAGATCGCGTTAAGTTTTTATATAGGGTTATTTGGGGTCGGTTAGCACAAAAGCGGGAGAAATTTTCACAGGTAAGCGTTAGAATTCGTGCCAAGAGCAAGGTGTCATCCGAGACGCTCGCGGATGGGGTATATAAGCCGGTGCGTTAGCCTTAGAAAAAACACAATAGACCACTACCTAATACACTGTAAGGCATACAACAATCAAAGAAAAGAACTCATCAACTACTTCCAGACAAACAAAAACACATTACTAACAACAGAAACATTACTGGCTATGGACGCCCCATCCACTCTGCATAGCCTGGTAAAAAAATATGTGCACAAAACCAAAGAATCAGTCTAATAAGCTGTAAAAGATAAAATAATATTCACCCAATAACAAAATACAAATCCCGCACAATAAAAAACTACACCCAAAAATGAAAGGAAAACAAATGAAACCAAACTGTATATACACAAAAACAACGAACTAACCACCAAAAATAGTCTGCGATATAAACGTAAGTTTGAAAGCGGACTTTAAACCCCAAAACAACAACAACAACTTAGAGGGGATGGAGAAACGACGGCCCTAGCCAGTAATTTATGCAGCACACGTATTGGCGCTATAGTCTTGTTAGATGCGCGCTACACAGACAATTCCCGCTCAAGAAAGATAGTCAAATAAAGATTTGCAGAAGACGGCTTATTCTTCATTCTTGATCGTCTGTGACTGTGACTGAGAGTGAGAAATAGAAGAGAAGAAGAACGTTGCAATTGATAGAAGCAAGAATATTACAATAGAACAGTACATTTGAGAGCAGTAAAAACGTTACAATACTAAATAAACTGCTTACCAAGTGACTCCGTCATCAATAAATATAACCGGCTTGAATTAGTGAAATTGAATGTGTCTAAACCAGTGTTTCTTCGGGACCTTTTTCTCCGGGGGTGCACTTGATATTTTCGGGTGGGGGCGGACACTGTCAAAAGTATATATTTTCTATATAAATTCCATTTCGTTTGGGGGGGGGGGGGGGGGTAGTGTCCCCCCCCCCCCGCCCCCCCGAAGAGATGCCTGGAAGAAACTCTTGTCTAAACTCTAAACCAAGATTTAAAATAAGTAAAGGGAAGTAATTGTGTTTTAAATAAAAACTGTTTGGTAACTGTGGTAGTTTCCCTTTAACTGACGTTTTGATTCCGGCAAAGTGTAATTTCGCAGATAATTCAACATATAATTAGGGGATCCGGACAAAAGGCCGACATGGGCAAAAGGCCGACACGGACAAAAGGCCGACATGGACAAAAGGCCGACAAGACAAAAGGACGACAAGACAAAAGGCCGACAGCCAAAAGGCCGACATCCGAAAGGCCGACAAGACAAAAGGCCGACAAGTTTTATAAAACAACAAACTACAATTACAGACATGTTTAATTTTTATTGAAAACCAGTTACATAATGATAAAGGTATATTACAAAATAGAAAAAAATAGGGCCATATATTTTGGCTAAAATGAAAAAAAAAACAAAAAAATTAATTTAAATTGTATCGTATTAGTAACGAAATGGGAGAGATCTGGGTAGCGGGAATCACCTGACCAGTCAAGTGAGCTGTAGTCACATGACATATTGTTTACAAATCTTAAAGCTAAGCTGGGTACATTTTACACTAGTTTAAATTTTTTAAATTAGGGACAATTTGAGACAATCTTTTGGGTATAAAGCAAAGCTTTTAATCATAAGAGGTTTTCAACTCTAAGCAAATGGGATTAGAAGCCATGTTTATAATACTAGACCAGCAATATGTTATATCAACTTCAATCAATGTCATGTGATCTAAGGTGACCAGTGGTCAACATTTATCCTGATTACAGAAAGGTTTCAGGTTTGTGAAGTGCATTACAGCCTTGCTGAAGGTTAAATGATCTCTAGATCTTGTCAAGTTTTGTCACGGGTACAAGTTCTGTCAGCTCCATTTTTAGCTCAAACGTCTGCTGGCTGCCTAAATATTTTGTTTTAGTCAAGTGCCTGCTGCCTCCCTCCCTCCCTGCCTGTCTCCCTCCCTACATCCCTGTCCCCTTCCCTCCCTCCCTGCCTGTCTTCCTACATCCCTGTCTCCCTCCCTACATCCCTGTCTCCCTCCCTACATCCCTGTCCCCTTCCCTCCCTCCCTGCCTGTCTTCCTACATCCCTGTCTCCCTCCCTACATCCCTGTCTCCCTCCCTACATCCCTGTCCCCTTCCCTCCCTCCCTGCCTGTCTTCCTACATCCCTGTCTCCCTCCCTACATCCCTGTCTCCCTCCCTACATCCCTGTCCCCTTCCCTCCCTCCCTGCCTGTCTTCCTACATCCCTGTCCCCCTCCCTACATCCCTGTCCCCCTCCCTACATCCCTGTCTCCCTCCCTACATCCCTGTCCCCCTCCCTATATCCCTGTCCCCCTCCCTACATCCCTGTCCCCCTCCCTACATCCCTGTCCCCCTCCCTACATCCCTGTCCCCCTCTACATCCCTGTCCCCCTCTACATCCCTGTCCCCCTCCCTACATCCCTGTTCCCCCCTCTCTCCCTGCCTGTCTCCCTATATCCGCCACGACCAACCTCATATAGAAAACGGAAGGAATGGATGCTAGAAAAAAAATCTTAATTTTATATTCTTTTATTAAAAACTTTTATTTAACCCGCTTCCTCGTCCAGTCTGTTGTCATAGATCGGAACGCTCGAGCGAAATTTCGGGCAACTCTAAGAAACAGATTCGTTTCAAATTTCTAAATTAGCAGGCAGACTTATCGAACTATTACGCACTATTTAACGTGCGTTATCATGTTCATCAGGTGCGAAATAGTTTTAGTCATGCAACTCTATTGTAAATAAAACAAATTTAAAGTGCTTAAAACATTCATAAATAATTCGGCATCCAATTAAGTCACATTTAATGTAAGATTGCATTGTCTTCATACCTCGACCCACATGCCAATTTTGAACCGTATCTGTCAGTTAGAAGTGCCCAAATTTTCGCTCGAGCGTTTGAATTTGACAGACAGACAGACTGTCGACAGACAGAGGAAGCATGTTAAATAAAAGCTTGTAAAAATCGTTTTTACAAACTTTTGAGTAATAATGCACTAAAAAGTAGAAAATAAAGGATTCTCTTTAAATATATAATTATACACTACTATTTAAATAACTAGAGAAAAGCATGGGTCTCTTCCTAAATATTAGTAAAGTTATACGATAGATAATGAAGTGACCCACGCTTTTCTTTATATTTATTTTAATACTAGAGTATTATTATATGTTTAAAGAAGATCATTTATTGCCTACTTTTTAGTGCATCTAATATATAAAGATCAATTCTGTATGTAAAAATAAATTTGTTTGTCGTGGATACTTCGATGGATTTAAGTGTTATATTATTATCGTGCTCAAGGTCTAAATTTAATCTGAGTTTAAAAATTACTATTGAAAGTGTTGGGAAATAATTTTCATTTTTCAAATTATAGTAATAATTGTCGGCATGTTCATTAAACACAATTTTAAAAAAAATATCATCTTTTACAAAAATTCTAATTTGGTCTGAAAATTATTTATATTTAGTCCTTTAGCACTTACTTCCCTTTGATAAATTAGGAAAACACAATTACTTCCCTTTATAAAACATTGCATTAGTGGAAAAGAATTTACTTTTTATTACTTTGTTTTGGTGTTGGGAAAAAAATAATTACATAATTAGCGGGGATTGATCAAGTGCAAATGTTGTAGGTATTTTACGGATAAGCTTGGAGTATTAAAATTGTTCATTAAATTGAA